GTTCCCGGAAGTTACTTACTTCCGGGTTCGCCGACCAACCGGTTCGCAGGGACTGCCGCGAACCGGTTGAAACCCATCCCTGAAGTTGATGGATTGCACAGACTAGAGTTTAAATAAAAATGATTATCGTATATTATAATATACTTTCTCATTTTTTTAAAAAAAAAGTGTGCTAAATAAGAAAAATCTAATAAATATAGCCTTTTGATTGATAAAAGATTTGGAATAGCCAGTTTATCTATTAGAATCTGTGTCCAGATTAGTGAATGGCTGATTTAATATTACAATTAATCAAGCCAGCATTGGATTAAAAAAAATATCAAACATTATGGCTTCATTTTTAATTTTCCTTTGCCTTCTCCTAAACGGAAGAGTCAAACTGAGTATTTTGTTCTTGATGTTTTGACACACCATGTATATTCACTCAACGCAATTCATAAAAAGTCACCAAGTTTTGGGATAGACCTGTCTTGAGAAGTGCAACAGAGAACGTTACTTAGCTATGTTGTAAACTGATTCTACTTAAACCTCAGTTACAAAAGTTGTTTATACAACACCTTTTCTATAATGTGTTCATAGCACACTTAGTGTGAATCAATGTACAATGAACAAAACAATGAAGAGGAGATAGACTGTTCCTGAACAAAGGGTGCAACTAAATTACTGAATCTTTTCATCCGTTTTGACTTTGGGTGCTAGACATATTTATTGAGCAATCCTCCATCATTAATTTCTCATTCATTTTGGGTGGAATTTTACTGGAGATTTAGATTGTATCTTGGATTTAGCCACTGTCCAACCATTGATTCTATTTCTTTCTCCATTAAAAAGTGTGTTTAAAAGACAGAGTTAGCTCCATAATGCCTTTTGAAGAAGATTGTTTGGAATATTGTATCCCAGAATATCTCCAACCAGAGCTGAGATCTGGATCATATAATCCAGGGGAAATATGCATCTGCTTTAAAGAGCTGAAGACAGGAACTTTCTCACATTCTTACTCCTATCTAATATGAAGAAGTGCCTTTTTAGAATGAGCTGCAAAGTACTGCAAAACCTTATTTATAATTCCAATTAAATCTTCACACATACACACAAGTATGAGTTAAACTTGTAGTTTGTATATTTTTCATACATCAGAATCTTTTCTGTTCTTTTTTTCACTAAAGATACAGAAATGTATGTGTCTCTGCATGGATGTGTATGTATTCCAAAAATTTAGGCTAATATTGAGTGCTTTTATTTTCAAAAAACATTCACTAACTTTTCCTTATTCCCTTATTTTCTGTCTAAAAAATAGCAAAGATCATTTGTTGTCCTGGGATTTAAACACACATACTATATGCCTATTAAAAGAAAAAAATAGGGGACACACCATTGCATGAACTTATTAAAACAAAAAACAAGTTTGATTTACCAAACCCAGTGTGCAATTTGCAACATCTCGAGTGTTTGAAAACCTTTCCTCAATTTTTGCAGCTCCAAGCAGTTTATTGAATTCCTCACGGCTTTGTGACGGCTTCCTCTTCTGGTTTCTCTATCCACATTTAGGGCTTCAAAGCTATTATCAAGAGAAAATGCCTCAAGGATTCCTTGTAAGGAATAAAGTGTTTGGAAAATATGCTTTTCAGGAAACAAACACATCAAAGATGTATATGGTAAAGAATATCTGCTTCAAAGCTTCGAGGTTGCCACAAAGGACAAAACAAAGGAATTTCTTACCTTACGGGTTAATCTTCTCTTGATCTCTCGTTTTTCTTCCTGTTCCTCTTGCTCATTCCGTGCTAGAAAAGATTGACAAAATTCTAAATTTGCATGCATTTTTAAAAAATGGCAAAGGATGATTACTGCTCCTTGCTCATTTGGATATAAATTTCTGTACATCTTAAAAATATTCAAATTCTTCAGTCTCTAATTGGGAGCCACCCAGAATTGGTTATAAGATGGGTAGCTATATAAATGATTTCAATAAATAAATAGTTATATGTTAGCGTGCATTTGACAGAAATCGTGTACAATGCCAAGATATTGTCAATCTCTGCACTTCAAGATTTATTAACTACAAATAAAAGTATAGATTAATCTTGGCAGGGCAAACAATAGGGAAGAGTTTCTAGGGAAAGATAGATGGAAGGTTGATAGATGGAAGAATATAATTTAAAACTAGTTAAACTTAGTGAAATTTATTGACAATAGATATAGA